TGTTTTTTGTACTCAAACAAACAAATTGTGTGTCCCCAGCATGTGTTGTGTAAAGCCTTGAAGGAAGTGTTAGTGAACACTATCAGCACAGACCAGGTGGATGACATGTGCCGCATGTTGGAGGTGAACGAGACAACGTCTGTGGACATCAAGCTCTTCTCGGGGGTCGCGGCTTTGGCCGAGAGAATCCTCTACCCAGATTTTCTGTAAGAGTGTGAGATGCTGGAATGCAAATGGAGAGAGAGAGAGAGAGAGAGAGAGAGAGAGAGAGAGAGAGAGAGAGAGAGAGAGAGGGAGGGGGGGGAGAGGGGGAGACAGAGAGAGAGAGAGAAAGAGAGAGAGAGAGAGAGAGAGAAGGGGAAAGAGTGTGTGTGTGTGTGTGTGTGTGTGTGTGTGTGTGTGTGTGTGTGTGTGTGTGTGTGTGTCTGTCTGTCTGTGTCTGTGTTTGTTTTTCTGTGTTTTGTGTGAATTTATGTGTATGTGGTCAATTTGTCACACCCCATAACTCTCTATTTGTCTCTTTATGGCTGTCTGAGTCTGTCTCTTTGCTCTTCCTGTTTTTAATCTGTTCACCTCACTCGCTCACACTGTGCTGACACTACTCCTTTGCGGCAACAAAGTATTGATGACCGTAATTAAGCCATATCGATTAAGCTCAGGTTACCTATGCATCAACATTTCCACTCTGCATTTCAGGGCTGTCCTCCAAAAAGTTCCGATTTCATGTAAATTCAAGGTCAATTTCAGGTATTTTGGCCCAAAATCAGGTAGTACAAAGACAAAGAAGGTATAAAAAAAACGAACGTCACGCAGGTAAACGTAGTTACCTTCAGGTGGGGCTTGCTTTTCATGATATTGTTAGGTAAATGTTTTTTTAAAGTGCGTTTGTGTGTTTACGTGTGTATATTTGGGGTGAGGGGGAGTGTTTGGGCGCGTATATGGAGGCTGCCCACTCACCACCATAATTATGTTTTAGTAATCAGCAAATTTTAAAAAAATAGTTATCTGGCTGAAAAATTTGTAATTTGGACATGGATGACCTTTTCCTTTGGAGTGTTCAGAAGGGCAGGAGTTTTCTATTTTAAAAGATGGATGTGATGTAAACAAATGTGTGATAAAAGAAGACTCGGCAGGCTCATCTTTGCCTTTTTACGGCTCTTACAGTTACACACCAAACATCTGCGTCCATGTGGTACCGTGCATTCGTGTGCCCATTCACACCTATCATCTGTCTATTCGTGAGTTATCGTGCCTGTTTTATACAGTCATGTATGCTAAGACTATACTGAAGATTTTACTTTTGTTGAAAGAAATAAATAAGAGGAAAAATAGGAAATTTCGGTTGATAGACAGTTCTATGGCGGATATCATCATCTGCTACCACAAATTTTGTCACATGAAGACAAATGTATTGGATTAATTCGAATGAGGCTGGATACACTGACTGACAGCTTCTTGAGTTTGCTATCATCCCAAATTGAAAAAAGAGCACCGTTTACAGACAAAAGAAAGACATTTAAAAGATAGATAAAATACAGAATATTGATATTGATTATATTGGTATTGATATTGGTCTGGACGCATTTCTTGCTCTCCCATTGCACTAGTTGTGGGCTCCACTGTAATAGCGCGTACCCTTTTCAAGTGTTTGAATAATTATAACACTGTGCATTTCTGTTTGCAGCTCCATCTTCGGTAAGACATCTAATGTCTTTATCTTGGGGATCATTCTCTTAAAGGAGAGTAGGTCCTCCTTTTCCTCCTGTGGGGGAGCGGTGGGTCATAACACTAGAGCAAACGGAGGAAATTGTATGGCTGCCATTAAACTCACCACACACACACACGAACGAACGACAACTATAACTACCGCATGAACACGAACAGCTGGAAGGAACACTTAAAGGGCCCAGATAAAAAATACATTCTGTCTTGCGTCTAACACACAATAAAATACAAACGCGGATGTTTAGTGTTTACGAGCGTTAGGCGGGCAAAAGGCAGTTTTGGGAGGAGGGGGAGGGGGGAGGTAAGGAGGGGTAGTTATTAGATAGCGGCTGTGAGTCTGAATTTAGTATACAAAAAAGCAAAAGAAACTGAAGGAACAACAAAACATGTCATCAGCTCTTGATCCTGATTGTGTAACACCGCAGTATCACTTCGCTCTGCCGCGCGTCGCAGTTAATACAATATAGTTTCAAGTTTAAAACAATGAACCCTTGTCTGTTTGATTTTTTTTTACATTCTCTCACTGGCCTTGGTCGTCTCCCACTACGCAGAAGCAGGAAATTTGAAACGACTTGCCAAGCTAATCTTTGCTTTAAAACTATTATGGCGACTACAGTTCACTATGCTTAAGACCAAATCCTGGCATAGGCGGAATTATGCTTTTAAAAGAGGCAAAGTGACACTGAGCGTCTGCAAGGGCCGTGTGCACAGTAGGGCTGTACCCCGGTAGCAAACCCGCTCGTGCTCACAAGCCCCTAGTTCAAGTCACAAGCCT